CGGTAATAGGGGCCCTCCACTGGGCCATCGCCACGTGGGCATCCCATCTCCATTGGACGATTTGACCTAACTCATCCGTTTTTTAAAATTTTTCCTTTTTAACACCCGTTGATCAATATTTCTCGATGTATCACCCTTTCGGTTGAGGTGGCACAAAGGCGCATCCCGGGGACGCGTTTTACCTGGATTTATATTGAATCGTATGTCACATGTGAAAGGCGCATCTCCGGAGATGTGCTTTAACGGGATTATGCTCGATCGGACGCCACGTGGGGAAGACGCATCCCCGAGGACGCGCCTTCTATTAAATGTCATAAATGCCCTTATCCGTTTTCCCCTAATACCCCTCCTCCTCCCTATATAAATCCCCTCAACCCCTCCTCATTCTTCACCAAAATCATCTTCTCCTCTCTTATATTTATTTTTAAGTTAGTATTTTTTAAAAAAGTTTCTATATTTTATAGTAATATAATTATATAAATATTATTTTTTATTAAAATAATATTTATATAATTATTATTTATTTAAATTTATTAATTAATTATTTTTTTGTACTAATTATATTTTTTTGTCTGCAGTTATAATAAAAAGTGAAATGCTGTTGTGATTGGATGCAAATTATATCTCCAGACATTTTAGTGATATGATAAAAAAAATTATAATTAATGTTAATATTTATTATTATTTTAATTTAAATTTATAATGAATTTATATTAATTATAAATTTTTATAATGCATATTATTTAGGAAATTGATCGTATTTTAGAGACTTTTATTAAAAATCTACATATACCGACATCGCAACATATTTTGCCATATTTGTCTTCTGCTGGATTCGGGTATATTGCAACAATTATTGGTAACAAATGACGAGATTGATAACATTTAATATTATTTATTATAAAAAATTAATTATTAATTTTAAAATATTATAATAATTCCACCTTCTAAGTAGAGAAAAAAATGTTAAATTATACAAATTAAAAGTAATACTAAATTGATAAAATATGTAACTATTGAAGATTAAATGTGTAATTATACTAATTTTATTAACTTATGCATCAATACTTTCTTTAAATATTGATAACAAATGACTAGGTTAATAACATTTAAATAATTAAGTGATAAAATTAATAGATCGATAATAAAAAAATAGATATATAACAATACGTGTAATATTATAATTTTATACATTTTTCCTATAACTACAATAAGATCAAAGCTGGTTTTCATCTATTATTACATTCGATTAATGTCGCGTGGAATGGGTGAATGCCAAAATCCCTGAAACATATAACACTAAAACCTAAATTCGTTCTACCTTTAACACACATTTAAAAAATACATTCGATAATTATTAAATTATAATCGAAACACTTTACATAATATATTAATTATTTATAATAATAATAAATATAAAATCTTTATTATTAAAAGAAATACTAGCATGATATTTGATTCAGTAAAATCCATATAAAGCGCATCTCCGGAGATACGTTTTTGTGCCACCTCAGTCGAAAGGGTGCTACATCAAAAAATATTGATTAATAGGTGTTAGAACGAGAGAATTTAAAAAAAAAAACGGGTCGGTCAAATCTCCTCCCCATTGGCCACTGCCGCAACGGGAAACCAAAAGTAACAAATGGTTAAAAGTAGACAGGTAAACCAACCAAACAATCGATATGTTTATATTCATTTGTTTAATTAAATAAATGAACGAACGCGAATTACTGAATGAATATAATTTTTTTATTCATATTCATTCGTTAAAGAATAGTTTGTTCATGTTCGTACGTTAAAATGATAATCGAACACAAATGAATGAATGTAAATGAACATAAATGAGTATTTGAGAAAAGTTTTTTTCTCAAATAATTTTAGAGTTTACATTTTCTTTAATTTTTAAATAATTTTTAAATATTTTTTAGTTGAGTTTAAAAATTAACTGAGTTTTAAAATATTAATGGATCTAAAATTAAAATTTATTAGGTCTTAATATTTTAAACGAGTTTAGAGATTGAGTTGAATATAAACAACTAACATAAACAGACATAGATGAACAAATTATCAAATGTTCACGAAAGTAAATGAACGAACGAACCTATTCATGTTTGTTAATTTAATTAAAATAATATAAAATTTTATTTTTCATTTAATAAATAAACAAATATAAATAAATTTTCTATCGAACAATTCACGATCAGATTGCTAAATATTCTATTTGTTTATATGCCTACTTAAAAGAGACTCATTTAAAGGGATCTTTGCTCGTAAATCTAGTGGTTTCTCTTACACCTGTCATGTGAATTAGTGTGTAGCTGTTGGAGTGTTCTTTTTTATTTTATTCTTAATTTTAACCAAAAGTTTTGACGAAGTGTCACGTATGGCAGCTTAATATACGGTTAAAAAATATAATATCAAAATTAATATTATTTTTTAATATTTTCGGTAAAAAAATTACCTAAAAGATTATTATTTCTACCTCAAATATTATTATTGGACGCTTTATCGGGTTTGATAATATATCTGATAGAAAAAAATAATACTTTAAGTAACGCTTTACTAATATATTACTAAACCCAGTAAAGCGTCTAATAATAACATTTCCGGTAGAAATAATAATGTTTTAGGTAATTTTTTACCGGAAATGTAAAAAAATAATAACATTTCCGATAATGCATTTCCTTATCTGTATATTAAGATTATCGTACGGTAGAACTTCCCAAAAATTTTAATTTTTTGTTTACTTTTATATATATTAAAAATATAAATCAACTCATCAAATGATTTTAATAATTAAAGAAAATATTATTTGACATGAATTAAGTGATTTTAATAGTTAAAGAACTATTATTATTCTTTGAAGTTTTAGGTTTGAGCACCACATATGTATGAGTATGAACATTCAATATTAAATGGTGAGAGTGTTAAAGTTCATAAATTCAAGCAGTTGAGTCTATAAATTTGTTATTAATAACTAAAAGTGATTTTGAAAATGTTACAGTTAAAAGTAATTTTGAAAATGTTACAATTAAAAATGATTTTTAACATATACTATTTTAAAAATTATTATATATTATTAATCTTAATTGTTTTCAAAAATATTATTTTAATTTTTCTTTTAAAATGTTACTTTAGGTGGCGGTATAACATCCTCATCTCTCTCTTTTTCTTATTTATTTATTTATTTATTTTTTTAATTTAAATTTAAATAAATCATTCTCTTCATTTTGTTTTTTTGTTATATATTTTCTTGAAGAGTTTATCTATCTATCTATCTGTCTTTATGACAGAATTGTTTGTCCAATTTTATAGTACACTTTTGTCAATTGTTATAATAGTTTGACGTTTCGTGTTATATTAATTATGACATATCTTCTGATCAAGAAATGTTGATAGTCTCGTATAGTTAGATCTCCTTTTGCAATAATTTATCTATGCATTCATAATTGTCGCAGAGTAATCTGTCATACTGGTTCTCTTAATCTCCACGCCTACATCTATATTACCTCTAGGTTCGAACAGAGATATTAAGATTATTGATAGTTAGGTTTTTTTTTAAAAAAAAAAGATGAAACATGTATTTGAAGAATATTTTGATTTTATTTTGATTTATGTCTTTTAAGTTTCTATATTAAAATTATATTATCTTTATAGTACTTTTTTTTAATAATCTTAGGGTTACAATTTAATATATGTTTAAAATTTTTCTTAGTTGTTGATAACGCACACATCAGATTACACAACTAATTGAACTCAAGACCTTAAAAGAGAATAATTCTTCTTTTAACTACTTGATGAGTTTAATAAAAAAATATTTTCTTATAAACTAATAACATTTCCTAACAAAAAAGTTAAAAATAAAATAAAATCATATACACTTAATATTATAAAATCCATCATGATGGATTAAATTTTTGATTCAATGCTAGATTTGAGTAGTCCAGTGCAGACATGTTTCACACGTCCGGTTTTGCCTAGACAATATGAAACAAAATATTATAATCTAATTGATTGTACAAATGATGATTGAGTACAATTAATTTAGAATTGTGCAGATAAAATGTGTGAATTTAGAGCATGTTTTGACGTCTTCCCATAAATAAATTAAAAGGAAAAAGGAAATACAGCTCAACAACTCTGTAAGATTTTAATAGGCAAAACTTTTGAGATAATATTTTCGAATAAATTAATTCACGAGATAATGCATTTCTTAGATTAATTGTTCAAATAGGGTGACATAAGTCGTCATGTCATAAGGGCGACCTACTAGGTCGTCATATCATCCGGGTGACCTACTAAGTCGCCATTTCTTCCCAGCGAATTACGAGAGATTTTGCATGTGCCATGCACGTCCCAACACGCTGAGGCTAAGTAACAAATATTATCTACATCGATAATTAAGTTTTCATGCGATTACCTAAATTTCCTTAAGTAACAACTATCACCTACATCGGTAATTAAGCTTTTTAACTAGGCTAAAATAGAGGTCGCTATGTATGTCGAGCGACTTTATATGTCGCCATGTATGTCGGACAATATGGCGATGGCGACATATGTTCAAACTGTAGATTTCACCCTATCTCAACAATTAATTATTGAAACGCTTTATCACGTGAATTGTTTTTTCCAACAATATTATCTTATTGATTTAGCCGATTTTAATAACATAAATAAAAAAGTAATAAACAAAACTCTCCATCTATTTATTTTTATATTCGACAAGTTGCGTTTATATAGTCATCCCAGTGGATTGATAGCTTGTTCCCGATACATCATTATTTTATTTATTTTACCCTTTGTTGAGTGATTAAATTTTGTATATTTATCTTTTCATTCATCTTCTGCAAATTTCTGATAAAACTCCAACTCTTGAATCCTAATTCTCTTTTATCTTCCCCATCCCTCTGTCTATCAGTTTAGCTCTGCTTTTATTTACTTACACATTTTCCCTCTCCTTTCCTATATTGATCCAAAGAGTGAAAAAAGTGAAAGAAGCCATGGAAATTAACCCTTCAAAGTCTGCAACACAAGATCAGGTGGAGACGATGATGAAGGTCGACAGGCTCCCCGAATTCTACGGGGTCTATAACGACGTCGTTCAATTGCCCCATACTGAACTCGCCGTCTCCGGTGCAACCAATGTGTTGCCACATTTCGGTTCACCTTCACCACCGCCATTTATAAACCTGCCAACCACTGTTTCTTTCGCCGGTTCGACTCTGGTTCAGGAACCAGGAGCCGCCACCCTGGGTTTCTTATCTTCCCCGGGGAGTGCAAGTGGTTTCGCCGCACCATCCGAAAAGAAGAATTCGATGGCAGCAATGAGGGAGATGATCTTCCGAATGGCAGCAATGCAACCGATTCATATAGACCCTGAATCGGTGAAGCCACCGAAGAGAAGGAACGTGAAGATATCAAAGGATCCTCAAAGCGTGGCGGCCAGGCACCGTCGGGAGAGGATTAGTGAGAGAATAAGGATACTTCAAAGACTTGTCCCCGGCGGAACTAAAATGGATACAGCATCGATGTTAGACGAGGCAATTCACTATGTCAAGTTCTTGAAGACGCAAGTGCAGTCATTGGAGCGAGCTGCGGCTAATAACAACAGGCTAAGTACTGGGATAGGGTTTCCTGTTTCAATGTCGAACGGGAGTTTTCTTCCATATCAATTACCTCCTCAACAGCAGTTTGGAGATGCTAATTAAATTACTAGGTTAAACTCATTTTTCTAGACCTAATTTGAGTATAAAAAAGAAACCAGGCAATCATTGATTCCATGTAATCCGTGTTGTACTGCTATCAATTTTTTTTGATACAATACATATAGGGTGCGTTTGGTTTTACTAAATGTAATATTATCAGTGAAAATATAAAATTACTGGAGAATAGGATTATTGTGAATGGTGTATTTTATGTTTGGTTGGTTTAGTATGAATGTAAGATTATAATGTTTGGTTAAAGAAATAAAATGTTATTGGAATGTTTATTTTACCAAATTGTCCTTATTATATATTTGTTTTTTAACAAGTTGAATTCTACTATAATATTACTATAATTAATTCATATATTTTCTTTAAAAAATTTAAATTCATAAAATTTATATAATTTTTTTACAAAATTGAAAAGATAAATAGGTTTAATGAAAGAGTAAAATTTTGTTTTAACCCCTGAACTTCATAAAAAAATTTAATTATAGTCTTTTTTTTGTAAATATAAAATAATTTAAGGATAAATTTATTGGATAACCTTCGTAGAATTTTTATTATTCAACGACAGAAGAAAGATATATTTTTTTAAAAAAAAATTAAGAGCATTCTAGTCCAAAACGCCGGTAATCCAACAATACTTAAGGGAACAAGATAATCACATTCCCGGTAATATACCAAAAAAATCTACTGTTGGTAATAAAAGATTACTGGGATATGATTACTGACCAACTAAACGGGAGAACGAGGATTCCATTCCCCAGTTATCCTTTATGCCGTGAACCCAACGGCCCTATATTGTTTTGTTCCATGCATGCATCTGTGTGTGTAACTCTTGTATGTCATAATTGGTGTCCAATGGCTACCTGTATACCAATGCATTATGCTTCTCCTACAATAAAACAAAGAAGAAGAAGTTAACAGAGGGGGCGAAAGTGCCGAATCCTAGACGAGAAGAAAGTGCAGCGACAGTTGCGCTTTGGAAGAGTCACACGCTTAGCTCATCGGAAAACATAAAAACAACTATATATGTATGTATGAGTGGGGTTGACAGGCTGATGCCCAATAATATATCTTTCTCTGTTTGTTTACTATGAAAATATCTAGATAGAACTTTACTGAAATTAGGATCTTAATTGAATCTATTGAGTGGATTTAATGGTAAAGAAAAATATTATTATCTATAAAGGACATAAATAGATTGAGGGGTGATTAAGGATATTTATCCCTTAAAATTTTCAAATTATCTTATATTTTAGATATTTTCTTTATATTTTCTATTGATAATATATTTTTAAATCTCCTAGAATTTTGTAAGTTCAATCTCTTTGAAATTTTAAAAGTCCGTCCCCCAAATTCTATGTCCATTCTTATTAGAGGAATTATGTTCGAGAAATTAAATTTACAAGATATGCATATACATTATCAAAGACTAAAAAAAATTCTAAACAAATATTTTAATATAATCAACTTAGGGGCTGTTTGTTTGCCTCTTAATGGAATCATTCAGCTCTGAATGCTGAACCGTTCAACATTCAGTGCGTTTGTTTCACACCTCTGAATGATTCAATGCTGACTGATTCAGAACAGAAATTCATTCTGAATGATTCAGAGCCATTATCAAACAACATATCACATTCAGAGCTAATTCATACAAAGCCTCTGAATCATTCGGCATTTGAATCATTCAACGTTTAATCATTCTGAAGTAAACAAACAACCCCTTAGAGTATAAAAAAATCATCATCTTAATTGTTTGTCAAACTGGTATATTATAACACATTTCATTAACATAATGTATTTTAAAACCTTTCAATTAAATGGAATTGTTTTTAAATAATATTTTTATAATATTTAATTATTTAAAATATTTAAAATATTAAAGTTTTAAATAAATGACAATTTTAATAAGAAAGTTAGATGCCATTTTTAAAAGTTAATTAGATTCACCCTTTAAAAAGAGAGAAAAGAACATTATAGAGTGAGAGGGAAGAGAAATGCATGGGGAAAAGGCACGTGAAAGACTGACAAAGCGGTGGGGGAGGATATTGCGGTGGTTTTCCGGCATTCGCAACACCTCTTCACGTGATATGCTAATCTACGTGGTCAACTAGCTAATATATTCTGGTCTTAATGTTTCCTAAACTTCTCCTAGTTTTTATATATTTTTCTTTTCTTTTCGGCACCAATAACAATTTTGCTTAGATATACACTGTTTTCTTATTCGTGTAATGTAAGATTATTTTAGCTTTATATAGATTTTAGATTATTTGATGATTTAAAATAAATGATTAGGATTAATATTAGAAAATGAGAAAATATTCATTAAAAAAATTAAAAAAATAATCTCAATAATCTATTTTCATTTATCTAATAGTTCAATATTAGTGTAAAACTAAGGGTCTGTTTGTTTAGCTGTAATTGGTTTTCCAGAAAATGAATTACTGGAATTTGAATTACTGGAATTTGAATTACTAGAAAATGAATTACTAGAATTTGAATTCTGGAAAATGAATTACATTTCTGTAAAATGAATTACATTTCTGGAAAATGAATTACATTTCTGGAAAACATCTGGAAAACGTTTTATGATGTTTGGAAGATGTTATTTAAACATTTTTTCGGTATATTTTAGTGAAATAAAATTTTATAAATTATATTAATTATTTATTAAAGTAATAGTACTATATTATATTTTAAAAATATTAATTAGTATATTTTAATATCTTTACTAAAATATTATTGAAATATATAAATAATATTATTCATTATTAAATATATAAAAAAATTTATTATATATTATTAAAATAAAAATATAATATCTTATATTATTATAATATAATTGATTATTTTATATAATATTAAAAATATAATATTATTTTATTATAAATATTAATAAATATTTTAAATATTTTAATAATTAATATTTTGATGAAAATGATATTAAAATATTTTATTAATATTAAATTCATAAAATAAAATTATTTTGAGTATTTTTGCTTTGAAGTGAAAAGTTCGGAAAATGACTTACGGAAAATGAATCCGTAAGTCATTTTACAGAAAACACAAAGGAAATTCTGTTACTAGGAAAATGAATTACATTCCGGAAAACGAATTACGTGAAACAAACACGGGAAAACGTTTTCCGGAAAACGAATTACGTGAAATAAACACGGGAAAACATTTTCCGGAAAACGAATTACGTGAAACAAACACGGGAATTCGGGAAAAACCAATTCCGTAATTCCAATTACGGGAAAGAAACATACCCTAAAATATATTTTGAATTCATGAGTAGGAACATAATTGAGAATTATCACATGTTTCGATTTTGTAAACTATAAAACTAAAATTATTTTCTAATTTATTTATTTCACTTTTAAAATTTATTTAAAATACTAAATCATTTTATCTAGAGATTATTAATTAAATATTTTATAAAAATAATTAATTATTATATTTTTAAAATATAATATAATTGGTAATTCGTAATAATATTAAGCACCAAAGATAGTAAGGGTATTGAGTTTTCATTTTTTAAGCTAAATGTGATTACAAAGTAGTATATAGTCTAAATACTCTCATTCATTTGACAATAAACGCTCAATCACTCTTGCAATCGCTTGCGCTCGAACATATGACCTCTAAGAATAACAATGATTCCTTTAATCATTAAGGTAAATTAGTTTGTGCAATCTCGTAATCACCTTAAATTAATAAAAAGAAGTTACTTTTGCGTTTTTGGCTAAGATAGTCATGTGCTTTTATTTAATTAGTACAACTAAAATCTCATTTTCTTAATGTGAGCTTTAATAATGCGATAATACATAAATATGTTATCTTTACCACTTTTATGGTTGTTCTAATCAGGGGTGTTCATTCGGTTAAAACGGTGGCCGATCGAACCGAATTAACTATAACCGAATTAATCAAACTTTTTTTTTCTTTAACCGTTAACCGAACCGAATTTTTTTTCGAACATATTAACCGAACCAAATAAATTTCGGTTAATTCGGTTAATTTCGAATTAACCGAATTTTTTTTTTAAAATTTTCTAATTTATATAAAATTAAATATTTTTTAATTCAAAAAAGTTTATAATTAATTTAAATAATAAATAATTATAAAATAAAAAGTTTAGATAAATTTTTTAATTAATTAATATTGATTTAAGTTTAAAAGTTATTAGATCTTAAATTATTAATTGAGTTTTAAATGGTTTGGGCTTAGCCCATATGTTATATATAATATATTTAATATTTTTTTAATTAAAAACAGTTTACAATTAATTTAAATAATATATAATTATAAAATAAAAAATTTATATAATTTTTAATTAATTAATATTGATTTAAGTTTAAAAGTTATTGGATCTTAAATTATTAATTGGATTTTTAATGATTTGGGTTGAACCTATATGTTATATATAATATATTTAATATTTAAAATTTAATTTCGGTTAATTCGGTTAATTAACCGAATTCGAACCGAATTAATCGTTAACCGAATTCTAAAAATTTTCTTAACCGTTAACTGACCGAACTAATTCGATAACCGAACCGAATTAACCGAACTAATTCAGTTCGGTCGGTTAACCGAATTAATTCGGTTATTTGAACACCCCTAGTTCTAATGATAAGAAGGTTATGAGTTTAAAAATATATAATAACTTCTAATATAGAACTTTAATGATTACGAAAGTTTAGCTATATATATTTGACTAATTTTTTTTAACTTCAATAGTAAAAGAATTTCACCCACACATATATAATGCTACAAATAGCATTTATATATTTGAAATTTTGAATAGTTTAAGTATAAGGACAAACGTAAGATTTTATATTTTGTGATGAATTTATGAAATTTTAAAGGAGAAATTTATTAAATTCTAGGGGTGAAAATAAATTATTGATAAAATATATAAAGAAATATCTAAAATATATTATATTTTTAATTTTTTTCATAGGAATGATTACCCCTACTTGCTCCCTCGATCCATC